ATGGATGATTCTTTACCAATGACTGTATTTGAATTTCTTTCGGTAAATATTATTTGTTTGTAATTTATCAAATATGATTTATTTTATTTAGGGTTTATCTCAAGTTTTGGGTACAATTATTCTAGTTGGTTTAATCAATTTATGGTCATTCATTCCAGCAATCATTGCTTCAAGTGGCATGCTCTTTTTAAGATATCGATATGCTCCATGTTCTCGTGATTTAAAACGACTTGTAGGAACAACACGAAGTCCTGTTTATTCACAATTAACATCAACTATTCATGGACTTAAAGTTATTCGATCATATCATGCTGAAAATATTTCTTCTAAAGAATTTCATTCTCATCTCGATAATAACACACGAGTCATGTATTTGATGACAACATTGAATAGATGGTCAGCGATGCGCTTTGATTGGGTATCTTTAATATTTATTGCTTTAGTTATTATACTTGCTATAATTGTTCGTATAAGTCAATATCAATTTTCAACTGTAGAAATCGCTCTCACACTTATCTATAGTATCACTCTAATGGGCATTTTTCAATTTACTATCAGGTTAGATCATGAAAATAAAAATGTGCATTTTGTTTTTTTGCCTAGAAAAACATTATTTTATTCTAGACAATCAGTGGAAGTTGAAACTCAAATGACAGCTGTTGAACGAGTTCTTGAATATTGTTCACTTGATCAAGAATCATCTATTCAACAACGATCAATCAAATATCGACCACCAACAAATTGGCCATCACAAGGTCGTATTGTTTTTGAAAATGTTTCTATGTCTCATTCGAAAGAATCTTATACACCGTTGGCTCTTCATCATATTTCATTAGTAATTAAACCAAATGAAAAAATTGGTATTGTTGGAAGAACAGGTGCTGGTAAAAGTTCATTCATTCAAACTCTTTTTCGAATGGGTACACTTGTTGATGGTCATATTATTATTGATAATATTGATATAACAACTATTGAATTAGAAGATGTTCGACGTCGTATTTCAATTATTCCACAAGATCCTGTTCTTTTTACTGGTACAATGAGAAGTAATCTTGATCCATTTGGTTTTTATTCAGATGCTGAAATATGGAATGCACTTGAACAAGTTTGTTATTATTTTATCACATTTTTTGTCAATAATCAAATAAATTTTTTTAAAAATTGTATAGGTACAATTGAAAACATTAGTAACAAATAGAATGTCAAATGGTCTTCATTCATTCGTAAGTGAAAGTGGATCTAATCTAAGTGTTGGTCAAAAACAATTGGTATGTTTAGCAAGAGCTATATTGAAAAAAAGTAAAATTCTAGTGATTGATGAAGCAACTGCTAATGTGGATAATGTGTGAGTGCAAAAAATATAGGGAAAGTCTAAAAGATTGTTTGAAATTATTGTTTAGAACGGATGAATTGATTCAAAAAGCTATTCGTGATAAATTCAAAGAATGTACAGTATTGACAATAGCACATCGTTTGCGTACAGTTATTGATAGTGATCGTATTATGGTATTCTATTTTGATATTCTTTTAGAAATATACACCTTTCTTTGTTATTTTAGGTGCTTAGTAATGGAATGTTAGTCGAGTTTGATTCACCTCAAGTATTACTTTCGAATGCCAACTCTTATTTTACTTTACTAGTGGAACAAACAGGAGCAGCTGAAGCAGAATATCTTCGAACATTAGCAAACTCTTCTGAACCATATACAATAAATAGCTAACTTAATTTCTAATGAAACAGATCCTCTTGTTCTTTCATTGAAATTGTTGTAATTCAGTACCACGAAATATAAATTTTGATATATATTCTGGTTATTCGCGATATTATTATTTCCTATTGAATAGAATAATTTGAAAGAGAAAGAAGATTTTGATTTTGTTTTTAGCTAATATTTGACTTTCATTGTCATGGAAAATATTTAAGTTGAATATTAAAGAGAAACATATTTTTTCTTCCTCTGATTGATATTTTGTCATATGTTGGTTTACTACGTATATAACGTTATGTGTATATGTTAACGTACCAGAGAATTTTTTCAATTGATAACAATAGTTCAAACTCATGTTTTGTTCATTATATAGATATATGCTATTATCGCTGTCATCTAGTGTTATTATCGTGCTACTGAATTTTCAATAAATTGAATTAAGCAATGTCGTCTAAATGTTTACGCAGGAAGAGATCTTATAGTGTTTATAATATTCTCGAATTTTCAGCAAAAATCAAGAACAAGCGATCAATAGCATATAATACAGAGTTGGGTGTGACTGTAAGCTGAAAGAAGATATCCACACCCTATAGGTACAATATCAGACTTGTATTGGTTGTTCATGTTCCTCGTTAAACTGTACCGTAGCGACATGTCGTGGATGTGAGTGTGGGTCTGCATTTCATCCATATCCACATCCGACACGTACACTCCGACCCATACCCTATGTATACAACGGACACAATTTTTACAGTATGGTCCTTGACTTTTTTTTTGGCTCACTCTCGATAACTTTAAAAGTTATAGGATTTTGTAGCCCGTGAAAAATACTATCTAACCAGCTATCATAGAAGTTGGCTTCTCCGAATTTTGTATGCTGAATATTGATCTGAATGACTATGGTATCATCGTTATGTATTCTGAGTAGGACTCTTTCATACCTTGAAGTTCTCTAAAACGATATATTGACAAGTTGACTTTCGAATACAAATATAGCGTGAAACTCCGGCTATGGAATACACTTGGAAGCATTTCCGATTCTTTCAATACTTATATGCAAAGGAACTTTGTTTCATATACGTATCTCATCGAGTTCAAGAGATAATTTAGCATATCCATATGATCAATATATGATAGAGAAAATTCTCCAATGTACCTGAACTTTTGCTCAAATCTAGTGTCAAAGTACTCGGCGATCAAAGTTCTTGCATCTTATGTATGATTGTGCTAGATTCGGTGTGAAAAACTCCTACGAGCCAAATCAGGTTCTTATGCGCCCCTGTCCTTCGGTATTATGATTGATGATAATTATAATGACATTTGAAATAAATTTCAACAATATCAAACTGATTTTTGGTATAAACAACATCAATGGTACACCAATTACTACTTCTACTTCAATGCTGTATTTATTTATATTATACCCTACATGTGAAATGAATATACACTAGCATCAAATATGAAATTATCTCTTTTTTACAACAGTCTTAGATGAGAAATCTGAATTCTATTTTAAATACATTATTTTTTATTCGTTAATGCACTTTTTATTGCTTTTTTATTCTCTCGCATAAATGAGTGCTAACATCGTCCATTACACTCTGAAGATAGTTACGTCACATAAAATGGCCATGTCAAAATTTCTATTAGGGAATAGAAAAAAAGGTGATTTATTCATCCGCAATTTAGTCGGCTGTGTGACAAAATAGATGGAAATTTTCATCATATTGCATATGTTCACTTTCTGGAGAACGACACCGAACAATGCACTTTGTGCGTTGTGGACGGCAGTAGATGTAGGATAAATAACTAAATATCGAAGGAGGAAATTTTAGTCGAATCGACATTTATTTAATATGGAACATAAGACTCTTCATTTGCTTGATTTACCTGATGAAATTCTACTTATTATTATGAAAAAACTTTGTAGTGTTGACGTCCTTTATTCATTGTTGAAAGTGAACAAACAACTCGATAAAATGACAAGAAGCCTTACTCAAACTAAATGTTTAGACTTCTCAAGTATATCATCAGATAATAAATATTGGTCAGTTAATTATCCTATAATTAATCGATCCTGCCATCATATATTACCTCAAATACATCAGAATTTGGAAGTATTTATTGTTGATCACCAGTGGATGACAAACATTCTCCTCACTGGTCAATATCCTAATCTTCGTATGATCAGTATTATAAATTGTTTTATGTAAGGATGTGGGTGTGGGTGCATTTCCTGTCTTGATTCATACCTACATACCCCACGCCCATATTCACACCCACACCCAATCTTCTCGGTTTGGAATATCGAAAGATTGTGCTAAAGTGCGTGTTCCCAGCTTCTTTCACTCACATTGTGTAACAAATTGTGGGTATGGGTGTGGGGGTTGGGGTGGGTATGAAGGAATCAAAGATACACACCCACACCCACACCCCTGCGTTTATTATATTTCTTGATGCATTTAAGCAATCTGGGTAAGTTCATGACTCTGATCTACATTCCTGCCGGATTATATATATAGACATTTTCAGACTTCCAGTATCTGTCGTAGCTGAAATCTGGTAAGGTAGAAA